TGGATACTGGGGTCATACTGTAATTGCTCAAACCCTTTGGCAGCATACCATTCTATATTAGTATATTTGGATGTCACTGAGGCCTGCCTGGGCTTCTAGCAGCAGAAATAAATGAAAGAATCTTGTCCTTCAGTAAATCAGCTGACTCCCAAATTCCACAGATATCTGACCGAGGACAGAGCTACGTCAAAGGCCTAATAGAGAAGATATCTCTATTAGCAATTGTGCATTGCTACCCAGCATTTGGAAGCAATGCCTTAGGAGTACTGACAGTGTTTGTAATCCATTTCTTTTCTCTCTTTTTTGAGCTAACGAAGAGGTGTAATGATGTTACTTTCAGAAATAACAGGATGAATTATAACATTTTGTAGATCAATTTGTGTTTACTTGTGATTTGATTTTTAAATGTTACTGGAGGATAATATTGGAAATTGTTTTCTCATTTTATGCATTTGAAAGGGTTTTTAAATACCTGGAAAGGAAGGTATTGGTGACCCCGCACTATCAGTAATGTTATATGCCACTCCTGGGTAGTAAACACCAAGTTACTTTTTAAGTACCATATATACTCAAGTATAAGCCAACCCAAATATAAACCAAAGCACCTAATTTTACCATAAACAACTGAGAAAACAGATTGACTTGGGTATAAGCCAAGGGTGGGAAATGCAGCAACTATTGGTAAATTTCAAAATAAAAATAGGTACCAATAAAATTACATTAATTGAGGCATCAGTAGGTGAAATGTTTTTGAATATTTACATAAAACTGTAATTTAGGATAGGACTGCCCAACTCTGGTTGTTATTATTATTATTATTATTATTATTATTATTATTATTATTATTGGTGATCGGCACACTGGGTGCAATTCCTAAAGACCTTGGCCTGCACTTAAACACAATCGGTGCTGACAAAATTACCATCTGTCAGCTGCAAAAGGCCACCTTACTGAGATCTGCACACATTATTCGCTGATACATCACAAAGGCTGACGTGTGATCCAATACAACAGTCAGCAGAGTGATCTTGTTTGCTGTGTAGTAATCTTGTTGTTTCAAATAATAATAAATAGAGTAAAATAATAACTGTAATAATAACAATATTAAAGTAAAATAATAAATGTAATAATAATAATTGAGTAAAATGATAAATATAATAATAATAATAATAAATAGAGTAATATAATTAATGTAATAATAATAACAATAACAACAACAGAGTAAAATAATAAATAACCTTGACTCGAGTATAAGCCAAGGGGGATTTTTTCAGCCGAAAAAAGGACTGAAAAACTAGGTTTATATTGGAGTATATACAGTAATTAATGTCTTGTATTTGCAATAACATTTCCAAGGTCTCCAGTTGCCTTGCGAGGGGATGTGAAAGGATTCTGCCTTGTTGAACACCAAATTTTCCTGGTAGCATGAGAGTACATGAAAAGATCAAAAAGTCCCAAATTTTGTTCCTGTTCCTTCTGATTTTATTTTTGAGAACCATACAAGTTTTGTTTATCCCAGAATATTTTGTGGTACAATCAAAGGCTTTTCAGGCCAATTCCGTAAGTTGGTTAATTTTATACCCGTGTAAAATTGGAAAGGGCGGGAATAGAATCGGGGACTTTGCAGCCAGTCTGGATGCGCCCTTTAGTTCCCTTTTTGAGCTTATAAAAATACTGCTTTTCTTCTCTCCCTGGTCTTTCTTTATTTTTTTAAAAAATGTGGCATTTCAAAGGCACACCCGCTATAGCTGGCTCCACACTGTTCTAGTTTCCTCGCTCTCAGGAAATGTTTGCCCTTGTGCAGTTTCCGGTAGCTGTAGGGCATGTCCAGCGGAGAGATAGTAAGGGGGGAGATGAATAGCTTTTATCTTTCTATAAGCTTTTTTTTTGAGGGGGGGTGGGCGGGCAGGTAGCTGAACTTGTAGAAGAGACCACAATCTCTTGCTGCATCACATGTTGGAAATATTTTTTAAAATTGAGTGTTTGCTAAAAGCTAAACAAACCTAAAAGCGTGACTAATTCTGATGTTGGGTCAGTGACTATCTCTCTTGCTCAGCTGGACCAAAGCGTTGTGGAACAGTAAAGCACACCTCCACCCACACAAGGACGATTCTCTTCGCGCCTTTCTCTTTGGTGGGATGGCTCGTGGAGAATGGGACAGGAAGGGACAGACAGGGTCATAGGAGGGGATGCATTTTGTGTGGAATACATTTCCTCTTTCCCCCGGAAAATACACATATGCTAAGGGGTGAATACTGATCGCTGGTCTTTGTTTTTGTTTTGTCCTGCCCAGTTACAGGCTCTTTCCTGGACACCAGCAGGAGCACGAGGCAAATATGTCAGCTGACAGTTTGTCAAGCAAAGCCCTAAAGGTAAGAGCTAGTCAGCCCTGAAGAACTAGCTTTGCCCAATGGATATTCCATGGGTCAACAGATTTGGGACCACGATAAAGGTTCTTCCAGGAGAGCTGTACATCTCTGGCATAAAGCATGAGCTAAACACGCACACTGGTGGGATAAGTTGGTCGCAATCAAGACAGGCTCATGTTTCTGGAAGTCTCAGGGTACATCTACACCAGGCATGGGCAAAGTTTGGTCCTCCAGATGTTTTGAACTTCAGCTCCCACAATTCTTGGCCTCAGGCCTCTTCCTTTCCCTCCTCAGCCAGGAATTGTGGGAGTTGAAGTCCAGGAAATGTGGGAGTTGAAATCCAAAACACCCGGAGGACCAAAATTTGCCCATGCCTGATCTACACTGTAGAATGAATGCAGGTTGAAACCATCTCAAGTGACATAGCTGCATTCTATGGAATCCTAGGATTCATAGTTTGGTGAGGCACCAGTCATCTTGGGTGAAAAAAGGCTAAAGACCCTCTAAGACTACAGTTCCTATGAGCCATGGGAGTTACAGTAGTGTCAAACTGCATTTATTCTAGATCCATCCTTAGATATCCCATTGTTTGTAGACACCTCCAAGGTAATGCAGCTGGCATGACTGCATGGAGCGCCGTTACCTTCCCGCCGGAGCAGTACTTATTGATCTACTCAAAATTACATGTTTTCGAACTGCTAGGTTGGCAGAAGCTGGGGCTAACAGCAAGAGCTCACACTGCTCCCTGGATATGAACCTGCGACCTTTTGGTCAGCAAGTTCAGCAGCTCAGCGCTTTAACCCACTGTGCCACCAAGGGCTCCGTATACAATTATTATATTGTAATATTATTAGTATTATATTGCATTACATTATAATATTATTTATATTATATATAAATTAAATTATTAAATATTAAATATTATTATATTATTTATTATTACTTTCACTCACTGACTTTCATGTTTCCCTCTGCTCTGTGCTATCGCTTCCTCATTCTCTGCTCCCTCCATTTCTTATTTCACAACTGTTCTTCCTGCCTAGGTTACTGGTCACCTTTTCTTTTGCCACTCCCTTATTTTCAGAATACAAAAGCATGCTTGTATGGCTTAGATACTTTCCAATTACTGCTTTGCTGGAGGAGCCGTGAACTTTTGGAATTCCTGGAAAAAAATTTTTGAGAAAAGAAAAGTTTCTAATCCTCATGGTCGCAAAAGAAAAAAGTTTGAAAATAGAGGCGTTGTCTGCAAAAAAAAAAAAACCCCTCTAGCCAGACTGGAGCCAAAAGAGGAAGGATGTTTCTCTGCCTTCCTTGAAGCTTTAAATTGCTGCATTAGTACAAATTTGGGGGCTGAAGTAAAATTTCATTGGAAGGGCTGAATCCCTCTTGGGGGAGCAATGTCTTCGTTTTGCCTCCCTTATATCTGCACCTGTGCTGGTTAGGGGTGCAGAAGAGCTCCCTCTCATTCTGAAATAGCTGAGATCAGAGAGGGAAAGTACAGATTCAGTGTGATTTTCCCCCCTTAAAGACAATTCAGAAACATTTACTGAAATGCAAGAACTATAATGTTGGTAGGATCAATGTGGTCAGATGCAGTAACACCCTTTCATGCATAGTTACAGGGCTTATTTTACTGTAGAAATGCCCATTTACACCAGTTTTCCACTAATGGTCCACAAGAATGAAAATATGGTCCGTGGCCTCACCATTACTACACTGTTGCCTCAAACCACACAAAGAGAGCGACTGGTCTCACGAAACCATCTTATAGTGCTGAGGCAACAGGGCTGTTGGAAGGGGAGAGGCTGACTACCCACGAAAGATTACAATTACCACCTCAGCTCTAGATTATTAAATATCATTTTCTGTAGTTGAGCAGATGGCAACTACTGGATGGCATATGCTCTGTATCAGAAACTAGAGCTAGTGTGGTTTGTCCAATGCAATTTTCTGAATTAGCACTCCAAATAACCAAATGAAATCTAAAGTTGACCAAAAACTGATTTGTAACCCTTTTGGTACTAATGTTGGAAAGTGGTCCCTAGTCAAAGTGATCCCTAGTAAAAAAAAAAAAAAAGATAGGGAACCACTGTTCTAGGTTGATTTTAATTGATTTAAATAATTTTTTTAAAAAAAATCACATTTTAGTCTCATTTAGTAAATTGGCTGAGTTAGTGATGTCTACGTTAACATCGAATTTCCATTAGAACTGAATTGTGATAAGCGTAAAGTCATATACATACCTGCTCATATATTAGGTGCATTTTGGTTTACTCCTAGGGAAGTTGATATGAGATGTCAGCTTTAGTCTGGATCTAGCCCTTCAAATCTATTTAATGCATAAATCAACTACTTTTGGAAGCCTAAATTATTCAGTCTTTGGACGCTGTAAAATATCTAACAATTTGTAAGACATAATGGACAACTAGCGTAATGTATGCATTTTATAAGCCACGTGTTTGTTGCAGAATTTGGGTTCTTTGGTGCAAAATAATTACCAGATTTGTTCAGCCTTTCCCTAGGCCTCTTTTTTCCTGAGCTGTTTTCCAGGGGTTGTTTTCCTTTTCTTGCATTCTCTCCAAGCTCTTCCTTCCTGCAGTGCTCACAGTCTTGGCTTCTTCCCTTATCTAGATCAAACGGGAGATGGGAGAGAACACGCCACACCTCTCCGACGAAGAACTAATGGGTTTGTCAGTGCGGGAGCTCAACCACCACCTGCGAGGCCTCTCCAAGGAGGAGGTGGCGCGGTTGAAGCAACGCCGGCGCACGCTGAAGAACCGAGGCTATGCAGCCAGCTGCCGGGTCAAGCGGGTGTGTCAGAAGGAAGAGCTGCAGAAGCAGAAGACGGAGTTGGAAAGGGAAGTCGATAAGCTAGCGCGTGAGAATGCCGCCATGCGCCTGGAGCTGGATGCCCTCCGTGGCAAGTACGAGGCGCTGCAGGGCTTTGCCCGCACGGTCACCGCTCACGGCGCTACCGCCAAGGTGGCTACTGCCAGCGTCATTACTATTGTCAAATCTGGCTCCAACCAGGCCACATACTCCTAGTGTCTACAAGCCAGGTCGTGAACTGAGTCCTGTTGCCATGCCTCTGCCCAGCTCTCACCTAGAACGGCTGTAGATGCACTGGTTCCCTCCCCCTTTCTTCTGCCGTCGGAAAGAGACAGAATCGACTTGAAGACAAAATTCCTGGATATTTAACTTCCCCCTCTGCCCACCATGTTGATGGCAGAGGGTGGGAAAGTGGTGTCTGAATTGTGTAATTTAACCTGTTAATGTTACCTGTTGATTGGAATGCAGTGGCCAGTTTTTTTGTCCTCCCCCCTCCACAGAAAAAAAAACTATTTCTATCTTCCATGTTATATTTGTCAGGGTTTATTCTCTTGCTCCTTCGGCACACTTTAAGTTAAATTAATGTAGTAGGATGTGCTTTGAGAGGACCCTTGGTTGCAAGGGTAGTGAAAGGGAAAGAATCTCTCTGCGAGGAAGTGAAAGGGATGCAAGAGTCAACAGGAGCTGGGGATATACTATCCTTTTAAGAGATCAACAGAAACTAGCTCAATTTCCCCAACGGTCCTGCTGTGACACAGCCCAATGTGTGCCAATGTTGCAGGCTCTGCCTTTCCTTATGCTTTCCAATCACTGTGCCCGCCTTGGCTCAGAAACCCATGATTTCCTCTATGTGGAACTGGAGTTGTTTGACCCCTCCGACGCTCCTGTCCTGCTGTTAGGCTTTCAATAGGCAACTGGTTTGACTCCTGTGTGAACTGAATGCTGGGCTAGATTGACCTTCAGATTGATCCAGTTTATATTTTACCTTCATATAAACTGAACTGTTCACATGAGCAAACTCCTGCCATGCTGTGCTGTTGATGAGTGAGCATCCTTAACAGCAACAAAAGAAAGGGGAAATTAGTTGTAGGAAGAGGCGAGAAAGGGAATTATTGCTATGTGGTCATAAGGGTGGTGAGAGGAAAGGGTTATGGATGTGCGTGCCAAGACAAGATGACAGTTGCTGTCATCCTGTCTGATGACAATGATAAAACACTGCACAACACCATGATTAGAAGGGACAATTGTTGTCTGCCGAAGTGTGTATGCATCATCTTAGTTTGTGTACACTTTTATTTTTAACAGTGTTGTTAAACTGAGGTTACAAGTTCTTTGGCATGGAATGGGAACAGCTTTCTAAAGAGGGAAAAGAATGTGGAGAAAGTATAGAGAGGAGAGGAGAGGCAGGATAAGGATGGATCAAGCAAGTGAGACTGGTGGAGAGAGGATGGGCAGCTGGATTGTGTCTGAAATTTTAAGGAAGCCTTTTCAGTTCTAATATGGGTAGTTTGTGGTCGTCTTTTGTGCAGTTTTACAGTATTCATGCTGAGTATATGGCAATGAGTAAGGTAGATAAAGGTAATGGTTTCCCCCTGACATTAAGTCCAGTCGTATCCGACTCTGGGGGTTGATGCTCATCTCAATTTCTAAGAGCCAGCATTGTCCGTAAACACCTCCAAGGTCATGTGGCCGGCATGACTGCATGGAGCGCCGTTACCTTCCCAACAAAGCGGGAACAACAGAAAGGACAATTCCTCCAATCAGGAAAAAAAATTCAGTCCAGTGGGAAAGTGTTAATTAACTTAGATCAACGTAAATGAAAATAAATTGTTTCTGATGTTAAAAATTATGTTCCATCTGCCATCAGGTTTGAAATTGTGCCTACCATTTTGGTCCAGCAGGGATTGTAAGGAAAGGAAGAACATCTGCTGAGGGAGATTGGCACACACACCTCTTGGATAATATTAAGAGGTTGTAACGACTGTGTCGGGAATGGCTTGTGTGCAGGTTGCCCCTGAACAAATAGGAATGAGGGAAGGTAGACTGTAATTATAGATGGGTCTTGGAGATACCTTCTGCTCTTACATGTTTATGCTAACATATGAACCAGTGAGTATTTGTGGGCAGTCACTTCCAGGCATGTGCCACAGTGACTTCTTCAAGTGACAAATGATTAACCCTCTTAATTTTTTTAGACATATGGTTGGGTTCACCCATCCTGCAGCTTACCACGACAACCACCCCTGTGATGGAATCAGCTTTTAAACCAGTGTTGTCCGTCCGTCTGTCCGTCCCCCCTCCCTCTCCCACTCTTTGATGATTCTTATGGGGGAGGGTTCCATCCCTCCGCATTTCCCACCCTTGTTTCTCCTTGTTCCTACCCTGTGACTTATTTATTGCACGAATATAAGTTATTTTCACGTCCTTTATGCCATTCCGCCTTGTGGCACGGCCAGGATGTTGGTACAGAGCCGTACTTTATATTTTATATATGCAAATCACATTTTATCTTCTATAGAGCAAGAAAAAAAGTACTTATTTATTTTCTGACTTACAGTAAGTGTCCTGCAAGACTCCTCTGTATTTTGTAGACTTTACAAATAAAGCCAGATTTTTTTTCCAAAATGGAAAAGCTGAAAACAAGTGGTTTGTCCTTTTCTTGTACTCTTTTCAAGCCAGTGAAATGTGCAAAGCTAAAGATCTATCAGCCAATATGAGGGATTGTCCAGAGAAAGAGGTTAACTTGCTGCTGCTGCTACTGACTGCAGCTCTGTCTCAACTGTAGAGATGAAAAATTAACTTGGAAAAAATGCTGCAGCATGATCCAACCAATTATAAATATTAGTCCTTTTGGTTTAAATGGGGAACAGCTTGAGCACACCATTATCTCCTCTGTGGAAATCAAGAGAATGCTGAAGTCTCAGGTTATTCTTAAAGGTTAATTTAAAAAAAAAAATAGGCCACTGACCAAGTTGCAGTGAGCAATTCCGTCAAAGTAAACATTGAATTCAGTGATTAAAATTCAGAACTGTGGTTTGCAAGACTCTTACAAAAGATTAAATCCATGGTAACATGGAAAAAATGTAATTTAGGCTTGATACAGACTGTTTGGCTTTGATTCCTGTTTGTGCTTCTTATCAGCACATACATCTCATTTTCTCTCTCTGCTGATTACACTGCAAACTATCGGAGGTCACATAGTTCAATGTTAGGGCACATGCTTTGCATGTTGAATTCCTAGCATCCCCAGGTAGATCTCGGGCACATTCTCATTTAAAATGTCTTCGCTGTCAATGGAGATAACAACTGAGATAGACAAACCAAAGATCTGACCTAATATAAAAAAAGATTACTAACTTGAAGCAACTTTAGGGTTGTTTCAAAAAGTGGTACATTAAGCTCAAGTTCAGCAATTTTAGTAATTTTAGTTTCCAATACACCTCACAACCTCTGAGGATGCCTGTCATACGTGTGGGTGAAACGTCAGGAGAGAATGCTTCTGGAACATGGCCATACAGCCCAGAAAACCCAGTGATTCCAGCCTTCGACAACACAGTTTTAGTACTTGCTTGTAACTCATCTTGTGTTGGTTATACAGCAATGGGCAATTAGCAGATTTTGGAAATATTACTTTTTTGGATTACAGATCCCACCCAGAATAGCACTGATGGATTTTGGGAGTGGTAGTCCCAAAAGGTTATATTTCTGATTTCTCCTAGACACAGGACACTTTCAGCACACCGAAATTAAATGTATGCATAGTTATGCGTACGAGTTAATACAAATATGAACTAGGCCACAGTGCACAAAATCAGCATTAAAAACTTGGGGCAAAGTATTTTACACCCGAGATGGGGAAACTTTCCCTCAATTTGTGGTGAACTATCCCCATCATATTTCACAATTGGCCATATAGGTTAAGGCTGATAGGAATTGGAGTTCAACATAATCTAGAGGTCCCTAGCCTTTATTTATGCCGTTCAAATCCTCTCTGCAATTTGCACATATTATTTAAATTGTGTGTCTGCAGACCATGGAGGATCTTTCCCCAAAGGAAGAGTGGCTGAATGTAATGATTTTGGAATTGTTTCCAACTTGTAAATATACGTAGTTTCACAGACTGAACACAAAGTCAGCAATGTGGAAGAAGACTAATGAAGACTAAACTGTTTATGGATTCTGATATTATGTTGTTTGACTTTGAACAAAACCGCAATGGCAGCCTCTCGCCACATCTAACCAGCACACCAGCAAAATACAAACAACCGCTGCCATTTCCACAAGTGGAAGTGTTTTCTATTTGGATTATAGAAAGCACTTTAAATGGAGACTCTGGCATAAAAAGTGGTGTAAATGTGTAATGTGTGCCAGAGAAAAGCTATGCTAAAAATGAAAGGCACACTGAGCAGGACAGCTGAAGCACGCATGTGAAAAAATCCCAGGAATGTTACCTGGAGGTCAAAAAGTTTGGCAAGTGGCCTCACCCATTCCACATTCCACAACATTGCCATCACTGTGAAACAAGGATCCTCTTCATATACACGAGAAAACAAGCAAATACCCACGTTAGCAGGAGGGGATCCAGAGGGGAAACTGAGTAGCAATCAGCAGTGCAAACTTTGCAAGTTTACTTGGTCCATTCAGGTGTTTCTCGGAACCCACAATTGGGCTTCACCTTGAACTTGGGATTGTCCAGATGAGACATTATGCAAAGGATCACTAGGCCTGATTAATGCACTGCCTTGAGAAGGGTGCTTACCGCCTCCACTCAACATGTATATTCTATGTTCTGCTTATGTGGTTGGCTCAGGATGTATTTATTCAACAATAAAATAGAAATAGTGTGAAAACTAGGTCTTAAATGCTAAGTGCTGGGTAATGATTTTGAATCCTTGCTCAGTCATGGAACGTCACTGGATAGCCACATTCTTGATGTGAGGGGAATACAATGGCAAGCCTCCTCTGATCCTGTCTTACCAAGAAAAACCCATGATATGATTGCCTCAAGGTCACCATTAGTTGGAAGTAACTTGAAGGCATATGACAACAAAATATGTCTCTCTAGATCAGTCATTCTCAACCTGTGGGTCCCCAGATGTTTTGGTCTACAACTCTCAGAAATTACAACCAGTTTACCAGCTGTTGGGGACCCACAGGTTGAAAACCACTGCTCTAATTGTTATTGGAATTGCAGTACATACCAACCACACCAAACAGCTTAGACTGAAAGTATGTGCTCCAACATCTCAAAGACTCTGTGTTCCTCCCCTTGTTATAAGCCAGGGTTGAAAATTGCACAGCCTTCCAAGTACTGCAACTCCTATCAGTCTAGGCAGCACAGCTAAAGGTGAGGAATAGTGTAATGGATTTGGCTCAGGCCCAGGGCAGGGGGAAAGGGTTAATGTGTTCTGACCATGACATGAGGGTCTACACAGCATGAACAGTCCAACATGTTCATGATCACCATTAGATGTCCAGAGAAACACACATTTTCAAGATTTTCTGCAGAGCCTAGTTAGTTCCCTTTCTACAGTTCCGGTACAGACTATGTGACAGATGAGACTAGTTGGCGTGTCTCCATCCAGATTAGCATTCTTTAAGGAGCAAAGAGCAAAAGGTGAGTCATCTCCGCCCATCATGTGTACCTTCATCCCAGCGCATTAAAATACACCAACCAACTGGGCATCTACTGTCTAGTGTTGCATTGTTGCAAGGTTTGTCCTCTGGCATCAACATTGATCAATAGGTCTAAAATGCTGAAACGTGGAAGCAAGAATGTAGTGTTGGATGGGAAGGTGGAGGTAATCTTGACCAATTCATAGCAGCATTTAGCCTTGGACTCTCAAATGTTATAAATCCGCTGCTGTCTGTTCTGGATATTACCACTTACTGATTATGTATGACTTTGATGCTGTGTACAGTTTCTTAAAGTCTTCATGTGAAATTCCAAGGTCATTACATTTAAAAATGATGGGAGGCGTAAAGCAGTAAAAATGATCCATGATTTAGTCTGGACTCATTCCAGATAGGAATCAGCAACTTGGTCTCAGAACTTCTGTACTGCTGAATATTCACACAAGGAATTGAAGTAAAAAGAAATAGGACCACAGCCAACAATACTAACTGTACTTTGAATGCCTTAACTCAAAACCCAGAGGGATTAATTCAATTTCATATAAATTCGGGGGGGGGGGGGCATTTTGCAGTAGTGAACAAGGCAAAAGGGAGGACTAAATATACCAGAATATGTAAGCTTGCAGCTCTTACCATCTGCAAGTAAAGTCTAGGAAAGACTTTAATTTTTTTTAAGTGGGGAAAATAATTGTACAAAAGTTGGGAGCCCACCAAACAAATGTGTAACAAAGAAAGGGATGTAGATATCTAAGAGACTTCAGAGGGTCAGACCACGGCAGCAGGAGAGTAAGATTTGGATCCAGAGATTGAGGTTTACCACTTTTGTCTTATCTAACGTTTTCCAGGGGTGAAGTACCACCTGTTGTGAAATCTCTATTGCACTTCCTTTACATTAAGATGTGTTTCAAAGCAGCTTTTACGAAGCATAGAGCATGTTTCTGAAGAGCTGTCTGTGTCGGTACTGCAATACTTCACTCTAAACCAAGTTGAATCTCAATTTTTTGTGATATTTACCACCAATTTTTGAAAATCCAGAACGCACTTTGAAATACAGCATTTAAATTTGTATCTTCCTCCAGCCTGTAGTACTAGAGCACAAGCCAGCCACTGACATCAGGCTCTTAGGGAAGTGAAAGTGAAGTCTCACTATTAGCTGGCAGTCTCTAGAAATAGTCATCATCCTTCTAGGGACATGGGGAAGTGTATATAAAGTAATTTCATTCACTGATATTGTGTGGGAAGGGAAAGTGAACCAGACCATAAGAAGGTCAGGAGATTAAGAGACAGGGCCCCATGTTAAGAGGTTGACCACAAAGGCAAGTGGTGGGCCTGTCTTCCCAGCAACAAGGTGGGAGGTGGGGAGCAGAAAGTCAAGTGTACCAGAAGTTCCCTAAGCCAGAAGCAGAGAAAAGAAATGGGTTGCACCAGGGCTTTCTGCTTAGCAAAACTCTCTTAGAAAATATGAAGGAAAATGGATACTTTGGTTGCAACTGCCTAAATGAATCCGAAAAGCTAGGGGTGGTTTCCTGGCTGTTCTCAGAATCAGAGGAAGTACTGAAATGAACAGGAGAAATAGAACATGGCTGTTGCTGTGTGGCTTCAGGTCATTTCCTACCTATGGCAACCCTATAGTGAACGTATTAGAGAGTTTTCTTGGTAAGATTGGTTCAGATGTTTGCCATTGCTTTCCCTTTGAGGCTGAGAAAATGAGACTTGTGCAAGGTTGTCCAACTGGTTTCAGGGCCAAGCAGAGATTTAATCCATGGTCTCCAGTGGTAGTCCAATTCTCAATCATCAATGCCACACTAGGTCTTCTACATCCTAGTTAGAACCTGGATGGGACACTACCAACAAAGACCAATGCTGTTGGCTTTATTTAGAAAGAATTGGCAAACCCACTTCAAAGTATTCCTTGCCTAAGAAAACACTAGGAAATTCATGGGTCACCATAAGTCTACAGGCAACTTAAAGACAAATACACATAGATCCGCCCCATCCTTCAGAGGTCTTCATTCACTGGTTGGGGTAAGAATACTCTTAAGTGCTCCATCACATTTATTAACCTTCATCCTAAATTTGCAATAGATATCCACTGTTTTCATCTTTGTTATAAGTGCATAGCTTGTACATATTTTAAAAATCTACAGCTTCATGATGTTTTTAAGACCTAATTAAATACTTTCATGAGAAAAGGCAAATTCTGATTACTCAAACATCAGGAGACATAAAAAAGACTCACATGTACAATTATGCTCTGCAAGACATTCTGGAATATGTCTCTCTCAGTCTAAGGCTTCTCATTTGGCCCACTCTATCTAAGCACACACACCCCCAATCGCCACATACTGCCACATGTAGAAGTAGATGATAGACTCAGCCTTTGACATGTTCAAGAGGACAGGAGGGTTTAAGGAAAGAACACTGAATGAAGTAAAGCAGGTTTTCTAGACCAAGTAAGCACGTATGAATCATGGAAGGGGGGGGGGGGGACAAGCCTTTGCTATCTTCTGGTTTAAGTTTTCACTCTAGTTACACTGGTCAGTTTCTAGAAAGGTTGTCAATCCTACTTACTACTGAAGTTCTGGAAGACATTTGTAAAAGAACAAAGTGTGGGCAGTGTTACACCAGAAAAATGGCAGGAACAGAGACTGGACTGGGTCATTTCCATCCCCCTAATACAGAACTTTCTGGACATTTCATGCTAGTGACACACCTTTTAGACATGCACAGTAAATTCTGCGACACTAGCAAATCAAAGGTGAAACCAACCCCTTATAACAGATATATAACTTATCACAACGAAATGTATGGGGACACAACCTATCTCATGAAAACCTTTCGTTCATAATTTTAAAAATATAGGACTCAATGTTTATTTCACAAACTCAAGAGGCTTTTGGTTACATTCACATGACACACTTGCACACTGCATCTGACACACTAATGTGTTATGACACATTTTGGAAAGCTCTGTTCTAACATATGGGAACAGTACAGTGGGCTATCTGTTTTATGAGGAATGTCTGTCTTGAGTGACAGCACAGGCATGTAATAACATATGAAAGTTCAAAAGGTTTGGGGGATTAGAAAGGAGAACCACCTTAGCATGGAAAATGAATTTGAGTGAGTAAGGGTAACCCGTTTTTGTTGGCCTCTTTGATGCCATCATTAACTTGCTTCATGTCAAAATATATAAATTGATCTTGTAGTACCTTTGAGGCTGAAAGAAAGCCAAAAACTCAATTGACACCATCAAATGCAGTGTACTTCATCAGATGTAGCATCAGATGAAACAGACGTGGGTTTATGGAACCTTATACTAAAACCTTATTCTCCTCAGTCTCAAAGGTGCTACAAGATCCTTTTGTATCCCGATATTATTGATAATCAGAAGATATGTGGAAGAGGAAAAATGACAAGACATATTAAAAATCAGCAGTCAGAGACATGTTAAGTAAATCTATTTTATCTCTATATTTAATTTGCCATATCTTTTGTTTCTGCAAAGCAGTATAACATCACAAAAACCAAAACAGAGACAACACCTTGTCTCTGAGTTCACATCAGTTATTACGTGATAGGTACAAAACTAGGTAACTCTGTCTTATCATACAGGATATTTATTTTTCCAGTCATTTATATACAAATATCTAAACTACATGGAAAAAAGAGTAAAAATAAAATCCTAGGGGATATATTACATGGTGGACAGGGGGAACCAAGGAAGAGGGGAAAGAGAGGGTGAGGAAGAAAACAATTCTAATGGGATTAGTGCATATGCATGTATATTTAATTATCAGCCTCTGAGAAGCTCTAATTGGAATGCATGATCATTGCTACACTCAGGGTCAAGCTCTTTGGATCTATCCCTTTCCTGCCTTGAGAGACAGTGAAACATCCCCACGGCACACAAACCACCTTTGTTCTGCTGTGTTCGTTTTAAAAAAATAATCTCAAGTTCTTTTGTTATAACTGGTCTCTGTACTTGATTTGATGGGGTTGTACTGGCTTGAACCCATTACTTATAGGAAAGTTCAAGAATAAAACAGCTCATAATGCACAATATATATATTTATATGTGGAATACATAAAAATAATTAAAATACAGAACTCTTTGCAACACCGAAATGCCATCTAAGTCAGCAGCAGACTCCAGCCACGTCTTCACCCATCCCAAACACACTGAACACGCATCAGAAGTAAAACATAACAGTGTATCAGATATAGTTGGGAAGCAGAAAAAAGATAAAAGAGTTATAAACAGCCCCATAAAAACAGTTATGAGTAAATGAAGCAATGAATGGAGGAATGTCTCCTTATCCTATTCCAAAACTAGAAAAAGGAATTTGAAAAAATAAAGGTTATTTTGAAGTATTATTTGAAATGTATACCTGCTTAATGAGGCTGTGTTGTACTATTTCACAAAAAAGTTTCTAGCTCTGGCACAAAATAACAACCATCTTTTCCCAAAAGTGCAGGGATCTGGTCTTTCATCCAGGAATGGGAAATCTTGCAACCCTATAGATGCTGCTGGACTGCAACTCCTAGCATCCCTGATCAATGTCTATGCTAGCTAAGGATACTAGGAGTTCAGCAACAAAGAATCACAGGATTAGAAGAGACCACAATGGTCATTCAGTCCAACCCCCTGACATACAATCAAAGAAAGGCTACATGATTTTCAGCCCTGCTTTAACCACTCTGGACCAAAACTATACAGCTTCAAAAATGTAACAAGGTCTTTTTAGGGGGGAAAGTCCATTGCAGTTTAATGCAGCTACAGCTAATGCTAGAAGGAAAGCTTGGGATTTCCTGGCAGAGCTTCATGCACACTTCAGCAGCAGTTGCGCACATTACTGCTTGATTTGCTACCACTTAATGATTAGCATGCCAGTTATAAGCTGGCAACACATTGGGGGCTTGGTGCTTGTTTTAAAAGCAGCATCAAGATTTTTGAAGCAACTCAGTATACATCAGTGGAACTGGAAAAAGGGATGTTTTTTTAAAAAACGGTATACAGCAACACGTTACTATTAAATCTCTCTTCTACTTCCTTCATCCCCTGAGCTGTCAACCCCTCTGGCTATTTTGAGCAGGAAATATGAATGGAACTGTTGTGCTCCACCATCCCACCTCCCACCCAGTTTCAACTGGAACAAATGAAGTGCTAACCACAGCGGCAGCACAAGCAATGCTCCAGGAAGCATAGCCACAAGTCTCAGCAAACCTGCCTAGCCCTACACAAACATGCTCTTGCCCAATTGAGTGCAACTTGGACAAAGGCTGCTGTTCTAGCCCCTGAGATCTGCATTTGGCCATGATGTAGGGTATGTGAATGTAAGTGAAAATAGTAAGGCACAGAGAAAAGGGATCCTCAAAGAAATCAAACCCCAGAGATTATCACTTCTAAACTCTCCACAGAAGAAGGGGTTAAAAGTATCATAAGCGAGCAGGCGCCCAATGACCACAAAAAGGTGTGGGAGACACATAGCAGCTTAGAAAAGTACTAGCATTACCGGCAGCAGATGAGGAACAGGAATTGAGAGAGGTGTCTGGGAAGGAAGAGGTCTAATGCTATTCCCCTTTTTTGAGGGCAGTGTTAATACAGGCACAATTAACCACAACAGCAGCAGAGAAGTGCAATACACTTCAATTAATTCTATTGAATTTCCAACTTCAAATTATCAACATGCCAAAATGGCCAGTAAAGCCAATGACTGGTGGGATTTTCTACTTAGAAAGACAACCTTTCATAGAATTCAGGGGACAGGACGAAAGAAAACCAACATATATGTGCTTCTCAATCATTTGGCCTATAGAGAATGCAACTGCAAAATAATACCTGTGCATAACTTAATATGGTTAAATGGGCCCAGAACAGGAGATGAAGAGAAGAGGGAATATTCACCATCCCTGGCAAACTATTCCACTGGCACTTAAAATTAACTAGTAAGAAAAATAAAACATTGACATCAGTAATGTGTACTGATGTGCAGCTTCCAATTGATGTTCTTGAATTGAAAACACAAGAATGCACAGAAAAACAAACATTTTAGTATCAGTTTGTGTAGAATACAAATGAAGATTTAAAGAATCATGAAGTACTTCCAGAATTTAGAAATAAACATGTGTTCATAAATACACATGACATAACTAGCAACTGGAATCCATGTACAGAAGCAGATTTCTACATGTGGATTTTATTGCTGAATAAGAAACCATGGGTGCACATCTAAAGGGGAATTATCCAGTGTGGCATTCAATCTAAGTGGATAGATAAGATGTAAATTTTAATCCACCTGAGAGCTTGACTGGAATAGGAATGAATCCTCCTTCAGCATTTTGAGCAAACTCCTCTCTACATGATGCCCATTCTCAAATATGGTTTCCTCTACTTATGGAGCAAATCATTTTCTTCATGAAATGACTAGTATTGTTTTGAAACTTCGGGTAGGAAACCCAGCACAGAATCCAACCTTCACCTCAAGAAAAATGATTTCAAATCTGCTCCTCTTTTCAATCTAGAAGTTGCTCTTCACCATTCCCTGGTGATCTACTTCCCTTCTTCTAAAACAGATTCCTGCTCTTCTCTGAAGCATTGAATCCTAATCACTAGCAGAAGCAGATCACATATGCGACCACAGCACCATGAGATACAACAAAGGGGGTTCTAGTCAGAATGCAGAGCTGGTCACAATTAATACAGAGACAACAGTTAGGGATGGAGTTCAACCTATAACCAAAATAACTATTTAGACATAGCTATAAGGAAATATAATTTTGGAGTGTAATGGGGAAAAGTGATTTCTGTTGCTGATATTATCAGCCAGTCACATTCTAGAAAGCTTTGCAAATGGTTAAATATAGTCACATTTCTTTCAATTTCTCTTGCCTGACTCCTTCTACCACCAGTCTCCCCCCCCCCTTAAATATTGTGTGTGTGTGGGGGGGGGGGAACCACCTAGAAAGTATATTCTACACCTTCAGGATCTCCGTTCTGCTGTAATGCCCGGTGGAGAATGTTCTTATTCATGTGAAGCCTGTAAGGAAGACTCTAGGAAAAGGCAGTTCAAACCACCCGCACGGACCCACTCAAAATAGTCCCAGCTCAAAACTGGCAACAGGAAGTACCCATTCGTGAGTTGAGCACCATTTTTTTTTTCAAAAAAGGGATATGACCTGCACTTCTCACTCAATAAATAAAGGGAAATTTTCAGGCTATGGCATGATCCACTGCCACCTTAGAACTCATCATCTGAGCTAAGGAGCAGTGTCTTCTCATGGTCACGGGCACCGGAGCTGCTATGGGAGCGTGAAATGATGTGTCCGCCGTTACGCCAAGGCGGCCCATGTTCTAGGGTCGACTGCTGAGTGTATTGCTGGTAGGCTGGGGAGAAGTTGTGGATCGCATCCTGCACAATGTCATGGGGATTCATGGTCTCTTTAAGGCTGCTAGAAATGCTCTTCATAGGGGCACAGCGACCTGGGGAAAAGAAAGCACAGTAGGAATTACAGAGAGTAGAAATCTGCTTTTGTCTCACTTAGATGTTTCTTAACTTTGGGCAGAAACCCACCTTCAGTACCACTTGTTAGCAGTGGCAAGCTGAGAAGATCAATAATTAGCTGGGCATGAATTTTAGCAACTTAAGAAGAGCTGGTAACCATACACTAGAAGGGTCCAAATGCAAATTGGGTGGCACAAAATCCTCACAACCATTGTGAAGTAGCATAAGATCACAACTTAGATTTCAACTATTATTTTAAAAAGTTATAAAAGAGAAAGGTGCTAGGAAATGCATTCAGAAAAGATATTTGGCACTGACAGGTCCAAGGCAGAAGTAAGAGAAAAATAAGAGACAGAAAAGGAAAGGAGGAAAGAAGTCAATAACAGAAAGTACACCTTGAGGAAGGGGAAGCAGAGCTGCTGAAAAACTTTGCTATATACACCACATACGACTGCTTACAGCATGCAATCCAACCAAAATGACTAGATTGCTCTACATTCACTTTACATTTAAATAAATCCCATTTCTATGTGGGGGTTTTTTAAGGAAAGGTATGGCTATGCTGAAGATTGAAGGCAATTTCAAGAAATGTATGCTCAACAAAAACAGCTCCTCACACCAAATACGATGAAATTGTAAAGAGTATTAAATGTATTACAAGGCAGTAAGTGAAAGAAGCCAAATACATGTACAACAGACATCATTGAGTAAAACTACATTTTCCTTTCGTTTTCATCAAAGCAAGCTTACTGCTGAAAAAGCAAGTCTCTTTCACCTCTCTCTTTGGTTGTCAGAGCTGTTGAGGCAAAAATCGCAAGGAAACCTCCCACTGTATTCATGTTTTCCCCAAAGTACACCTGCATATACTTGTTACACATAACAACGGGCAGCACGTGACTTATCTACCCAGTGCATGGTGGAAAATAAGAAAAGAAACAAATGCAGAGAGAGTTGGCACCTACCATATGGCCCATAGGATGGAACAGCTGCACCAGACACCAAAGCCCAAAGCAAGTGAAAAAGGAGTGAAGGAAACAAAAACAAGAGAGAAAGATATAGGAAACAGCAGTTTGAAAAGGCAAGTTAGAGTTTTCCACCAAGACATTATTACAATAGTTAATTTGCTAGCATTAGCTATTAAATACAAGATTTTACAGAAGACTGAAATATCCTACAGGTTGAACATCTTTTATCCAGAATTCTGAAACCAAAATACTACAAAATTATCCACATGGGTGGCTGAGATAAAATGCTTTTTCTTTCTTATGATTCAATGTACACAAATTTGGTTTCCTGCACAAAATTATTAAAAAATATTTCATTAAATTACCTCCAGGATATGAATATATGAAATACAAATGAATTTTGCATTAAGACTTGAGTACCATCTCTAAGATATTTCATTATATATGTATGTTCATATACAGGTATTCCAAAATCCAAAACACCTCTCTTCCCAAGCATTTTGGATAAAGGATATTCAAGTTGTACAGAGTTATCCATCCCTCGCAATCTCAAAAAAAAGGGGGGGATTCCTTAGTCAACCTGTGCATCTCAGCTCTGCTGTTCTCTAGACAACAAGACAAACAGAATCTATATAATGGACTTTGATCACTATGTTCAAGAGCTTGGCTCTGATCCCAGTTTTTAGTAACAAGCGAAGGGAAAGTAGAAATGTCTTTCCTTTCTTCACTTGTCAAATGCTGTATATGTCACTCTGAAGATAAATTTTGTTGTTGTTCTCTTACCTCAATCCCACCCACTAGTCTTTCCATATCAAGACTTCTGCTCTCATTTTTCATAGACCCAAGGTAAAAAAGAAAATGATATTTATTTCCCAATGTGAGCTTTATAATCTATAGAAGGGACTGTTTGTATAGGTATATAGAAAGCAGATCTGGGGAGACTCATAAGCATAATCCCCTTAATCCAACAGCAGACTGCATTTCAAGAGAAAATGAAAACTAGATTATATAACAGATCTGTATGCAAATGTGAAAAAAATAAAATTAGTGTTAAAATGCCCATGTAGAGAATTTAGAGGTGAATAAATTCCACTATATTAACATCCCCTTCTCATTCAAGACTCAAAACTGAGCTTCCTCCATACCTTGTGCATCAAGACGTTTGTCTGCATAGACCTTATAAGTGAATGCATGGCGTAGCGCAATTGCTGCAACGAACATTTCCACACAAATAATGAAGTCCTGGTAGCCAGCTGCTACAGTTCCTTCACCCACAGATACACTGGCAGAGTCGATCTTAGGAATGGCACCACACTTCTCCAGAATGGCCAGCAACATCCCTGAATTGTAAAAATTGAGAGAGATCTCAGTTCTATAGCACAGCAACCGGTCCAGAATCCATAGTTGATTCTGACTTTGTTGTCACTTTCTTTTCTTAATCTATTTGCTGTTGCAATGTTTTTCATTATTCCCAGATTTTGATATATTAATTTCCTATCAATTTGGTGGTCCAACTAAGGTGTAACAGGATGGTCAAATAGATCACAGAAAGCAATTATTCCTGTTGGGCATGACACAGAACAGGCAAACATTACAACAGGAAAGCTAGTTTCCCCTAAAACTTTTTTGGCAATCTGACTAATATGGCTCATGAACACCAACCAGACTGGATTTGGTTACTGTATTTGGGTTGGGAGCCAAGTCCGTTCCATAGGCTGCACCCATGTACACTGGAAATGATATAATGTCACATACGGTAGCCATTTCCCACATTTTCTGGTTTGTTAGTGGTGGGGGGCTTGCCTTTTGGAAGTATTGGGAGCTTTGGGGTTGAAGGAGTATCTATAATCATGGGTGGCTTGCGGACATGTGCTGTTGAAAAATCACATGGAAATTTGCCTGTGATTTTGTTTATTCGCCTGCAATTTTGTTTTAAAAATGAGGCATATTTAAGAGGCATTGAGGAGGTTTCTGGAGGATCTTGGGGGCCTGCAAAATGGGAGCTCATTGGATCCTGTGACTCATAGGTCATACTTTCCTCATCCTGGAACTAGAACCACCACTGGTTGATTCCACTGAGGTAGTGATACAATATAGATGTTGCAATGATACACAACACTTTTTCAAACAATAGAAACATGCCATGTTCACTCACATGTGTGTTGTTAACAACAATAAAAAGCAGAAACTCTAAAAAGATGTGGTTTGTATTTCTAAAAAATGTAACAAAATTTCATAGTTGTCATCCTGATCAAGAGAAATAACAGAAAACAAAAGTGTTCCTGAAATCTCCCATCATCAGATTTGATGAGTTATATTATTAGAATGAAGTGGAACTGATAGCAGGGCAGTGAGAAGCGAGAAGTACAATAAATGTAAATAGTGAGGAGGATAATATACAAAAACAGCACAAGAAAATGCGGTTTGTCTTAGGATAGCGGTTTTAAAAACCAAGGAGATAAAGATGCATGCCTGCTAACATTTTAACAGGGTACCAAATCTTCTTGGTTACGTTTGCAAGTGCGTATGCTGATATCTCACCTTGCCAGAAGGACAGGAAAATGACAGACTTAACCATGAAGAATTTCAGGACGGGGCTGTAGGGACTGAGCAGTTCACGTGTGGCAAAGTAGAAAAGGAAGAGGGCATAGAGGGCCAAGCTCACAGAAATATTGTAAATGATAGTCACATAGAGATATCCACTTGAGACACTGTAAGAAAAGAAAACATGAATACTCAGTTTTTCAGGCGGGATTAAGCCTCCCACCTATGCAAATTCTTCTTCCCAGGTCTATCAGTAAACAGTGCCAAGACACACATAAATGATTTACCACAGCTATAACCAAATAGTGGATTAAATTGTTCCAGTGCCTGTGGTGGGTTGAGAGGCACTGCAGTTACCCTCAACAATTCTCCAGTGAAGGTTTGCTATTGGTTTCCTCTGAGGTTGAGAGAGAGAGCAACTTGCCCAGGGTCACCTAGTGGGTTTCCATGATTAAATAGAGATTCAAACCCCGTCTCCCGGAATCCCAGTCCAACATTCAACCCAGTACAAAATTGAGATCTTATTTGTTCCTTTCTTTAGGGAAGATAAGGAAATCCCTATTTTCTTGTAGGCAAAATGTTATTTCATTCTCTCAGATCTAAGGACAGGCAAGCTTTTTTTTATTAAACACATTTTGAAATTTCTTCACAGGACTACCAAGCTGGTATCACTTGACAAAGACATCTCCTTATAATTAAACTACTTACTCAAAGTCTCCATCCTGGTATTTGCCAAATGCCTGAAGGACGACTGTAATAATAGCCATAAGAGGCTTCACAACACAGAACTGCAAAGTGGCCTGATAGTGGTAGAAAGTAAAGAGGCAAGCAAAAGAAATATAGAAAAGAAATTAGAAAATGTATTCAGTATTTAATCTCCAATCAGTTCCAACCATCTTCAACACTTAAGCACATTAAACCCAGAATTATAATCAGCATTTCTGTTCACACAGACCAACAATGTGTTCTTAATTAATCACATTTTTAGGATAAAGATATGCCTTCAACACTAGTGAAGACTAGATACTGCAAAAGTGGCTCTGCAACTTTATTGAAAAAGGCTAAATTATCTGCTAAGTACCAGCTCTGACTTAATGTAAGGATATTACGACAGAATAGAGGGCGAAAGAGAGAAACATGCCAAGAGAAAGGCGCGACAAGCCAACCCTGACCAGGACCGCCTTACACCTGGAAACCAATGCCCTCACTGTGGGAGATGATGCAGATCAAGAATAGGGCTCCATAGTCACCTATAGACCCACCCTAGAGGATTATCCTACTCAGACATTGAGGGATCGCCTAAGTAAGTAAGTATTATGACAGAATACATAATAATAAAATACTCTGAAAAAGTGGCAAGAAAGTTTTAAAGACCAATTCTTGTTTATGAACCATGGACATCTTAAAGTTTAGGGAACTAATGACAGAATAGAAAAGTAGCCCGCTCTCAACTATCTTGAGACTAAAACAATTGTGTTTTTAGAGGAGTATTTTTAATAGTTCATAGACCCAGTGGTCTACTCAGGATAACATTTGCAATCTGTTCTGTACATAACCCATTAATCATCAGAGGAATCTGACAGATCATTGTAACACCTAAGTTTGTTAGTGTTTATTTCACAACAAGAAAAAGGATTCCAGTGTCACAGAAGTTGACATGCCTGATCTAGTCATCGTTAAATGGGCTGGTCTAATGATGGGAAGGACTAAGTATATTTTTATTAGCTGCTTTTCTTAGAATAGCTCTTCATTGGCTTCTCTCACTGCAGACCTTTCTCTCCGCTTACTTGGCCTGAATTCTATTAGTATGCTCAGCTAGAGTAAATACACTGAATCAACGAGATTTACATTATCCCCAACTCACTATTCTACAACAGACTCAATGGGTCTACCCTTGTTAGAACTAGCAATAAGATTCATGATCTTTTTTCTTGAGTGTGTATCTCTGGCAAGAACTTCCCCTCGTTATTGACCAAAGAAAGGGAAATTCCAGACAGAAGTGTAGAAGTTGAAAAAATGCTCAAAGGGAAGTAGCAAATGTCTTAAATATGATCTCGTGTTTCATCTTGCAGTTTAGTAACCACACATATTTTTTGCTGCAGAGAAGATGATTCAAAGTGCAGGTCATGATAAAAAGCCCTAAACGGTTTGGGCCCTGCCTAGCTTCGTGACTGCATCCTCCCTATGTACATGCCTGAGCATTAAGATCTGTTGGGGAGGCCCTCCTCTCGTTCCCACCACCGTCCCAAGCACAGTTGTTGGGGACGAGGAAGAGGGCCTTCTCGGTGGTGCCCCCCTGGCTTTGGAACGCCCACTCCAGGGAGATTAGGCAGGCCCCCACTCTGTCCTCCTTGCATAGGGATCTGAAGACTTGGATGTTTAAACAAACCTTTGAGAACGTCTAGCCCCAATGTTCTGCAATCAATGACATAGCACTGGACTTTCATCCCATGCCCTTGTTCTCAGCTACAATTTGCACTATCCCATTCCCTTGTCTTGTTTACAGTCTGGCCATGTCTTACGATAGTTATTGGGCGCTGTTCTGAGTTTTAAATTGTTATTTCATATGCAATGTTTTTCTTTATTGTATTGTACTGTATGTCTATTTTATGTTGTTTTAGGAACTTTATGCCATATGTAAGCCGCCCCGAGTCCCTTCAGGGAGATGGAGGACGGTTACAAGTATAAAGTTGTTGCTGTTATTATTATTATTACTCCTTCATCCTCCATCAACTCAACCAGATGGATTCTTGCTACATAGAACTAATTTAAACCCACTAATGACCACTTGCTTCTTCAATCTCTCAATGAAAATATTTCATGTGAGCTATGTTAAAGACCAAAAAGCCACGTTAGTAGTACATACAAATAGTAGCTCTGCTGCATCTGGTTAAAGATCTATCTTCTTTAACATTCTGTTCATATAGTAGCCAACCAGTTATCTAGGGAAGCTCATACAAAGTATTACAAAGATAATACTGCTTTGATCATCTTAGCAGGTCAGACTTCAGAGAACAATAATAACCAATGCCTGGGAATAAATTAGAAATGTTTTAGACGTGTGACTGACTATATTTTTTACAAGGGTCTTGACGAGATCACTTACTAAATCTCCTCCATGTTTAAAATTTAAGTTCTCTCTCAGCAGAAAGAATGTCAGTTGTACCCATTTACTTTTCCAGGCAGTCTATGAACTAGCAATCATATTCAGAAAAGAAAGAATGGGGTGAAACGGTAAAATATTTCATTTCTCCTCCTTTGTGTTAAGCACACACGCAGTAGAACCTGGTTCTGCTGGCATCTGAAAGACAAAGCTAGAAGAGGGGAAAAGATTGCTTCTGATAAGATGGTCTTGGGTGGTGATCACAAACTGGGGAGATTAAGAATCCCAGCACAAGCCAACTGGTGAGTCATCACCAAGTTGTGAACTGGAAAAGGTCAAGCTAATTGTTAAACTGTGCTTCTGAACTTCCTCTTCTCTGTTCTAGGGATTGTTTATTCATCTTCCTGCAGCCCAAACCCACAAGCATTTATTTTTGGACACTTCCTGGTGAAGAAAGTGTTAAGACATATGGGAAAAAATAGTGGGTGCTGGCAACCTAGACATTTACTGTGTCATCATGCAGAAGTCTAGGGGGGGGGGACCCCAAAAGGTTAGCATCTAAAATGGAGTTGGTCCTCTCTAGAGTTACAATTTCACACCATTCAAGTTTCTGTCTAATGGTGAAAAATATCCCAACTGCAAAACTGTTGCTCATAAACTTTCTGACTTCTCTATCACACAATTACTCTGCAAACATAAGCATTAACACATCAATCAAAACAGAGAAATTGTTCCTGCAAGATGACACGTCATGTCCTGCATCTGTAACCAGAAAGTGGCTGTGGTCACTACAGATCAGTCTTTCTCATTTTTTTTAATCCTAGAAGAACTATTTGAGAAGGGTGAAGGATGAGCAGAAAGTACTGACTACTCAATCCTGCTGGCACTTTATACCAAGAACAATTTTTATCATCATCTCAGCAATTTATGGCTGAAACATTTAATATAATTTATTCACTGCAATTAAAATGGGAGAGGTTCCCTTGATGTAGTTTGGTGGCTCATGCTGGACTGCTTCCTCTGCAAATCTTATGCACAGAGTCCCATATGATGAGCACATGATATTTAATCACCCAGAAGAAGCTACACTAAGTACTGGCCATTATGAGGTATGAAATAAACAATCTACACAAGCAAGTCAGAAATCTACATGCCTTGTTGAAAGCTAATTGCCTGATACCACAAATACATTAAAAGTAACCTAGTTCTATCATGCCCACACTTCCTAACTAATAGGTCACCTTGTATTCCCTCATCACACACTCAACTCTTTGCCCACTTAGTCTCTTTTCTTCAATTCAATTTGAACTGAAGGAATACTTTGTATGTTTTAGCTATATGCTGTATGTGTGTGTGCGTGTCTTCACATCACCTAGAATCATAGAATCGTAGAGCTGGACGAGACCGCATGGGCCCCCTGCCATGCAGGAAAAGCACATTCACAGTACCCCTGACTGATGGCCATCCAGTCTCTGTTTAAAAGTTTCCAGGGAAGGAGCTTCCACCACACTCTGAGCAGAGAGTTCCACTGCTGAACAGCTCTTACAGTCAGGAAGTTCTTCCTAATATTCAGGTGGAATCTCCTTTCCTGTAATTTGAACCTGTTTATTTATGGCAAGGCCATGAATTTCACAGGGTTTCCTTAGGCAAGGAATACTCAGAGGTAGTTTTGCTAGTTTCTATCCCTGAAATATAGCCTACCACACCTGGTATTGGTTGTCAATATCTCATCCAAGTACTGACCAGGGCCGATGTTAGTTTTTAAAATCAGGATATGGTACCTTTAGTGTACTATATTGTTTTAAATTGTAAGTGGACTAATGTCCCAGTTTTGGGAATGGCAGAAATTATAACTACAATGATGATCTCTATATGCTCAGTTCATTTCTGTTATCTTTTTATAGTACTTACAATGACATAATTTTTCTTTAACAATCTCTGCTACCAAAAGCTTTTTTAAAAGGGCTTTGAAATGCTTGTATGCAGGCACATTTTTGCCAAGGTGTTGGAGTGAAAATATAGTTTACAATATAGTCTTTATGCTCAAACAATCCAAAAAGGTTGTACAAAATTTGAATAATTGGAGGGAGGAGGGGAGAGAATCAACACATGATCATCATGTGCAAATATCCATGAGGTAAAACAGAAAGGGTTTCAGTAAACATAACATGGAGGAACTAATTTAAAAGGAGGAACAAAAGACAAACTGCATGTTAGTAAAACCAGGTGTATAATGTAGTACAGGGAAAGACAATAGATCACAGGAATCATGAAAGTAAGTTATCAAGACATACCATACAATCAGAAGTGAAATGTTACTGCATATGAACACACCATAAAACCTTTCCACAATCCCAAGTTAAGATGATACTATGCACAATCAATAACCCACCTAAGTACTGAAGTTTTACTTTGGCATTACCATTTGGGAGTTCTGGTTTCAAATTTATTTTTGAGTCTCTGTCAAATTCCTCTCCCCATATTAGTTAAACTACTAGAGAGAGAGATACAATATGTAGAGCTAATAAGCAGTTGTCTCCTGTATTACAGAAGACTTAGATTAAAACTGAAATGGCAAGTTACATAAAGAAAGCCAAGTGAGACCTTGATCCAAAATTTCTCTGCTCCATAATTCATGCATCATACCCGCACGGCTACATAGTTAGTTACAACTAGAACCTGCTTTCTAATTCTCAGAAGGGTGTCAAAACTGTCAGGCATGGGACATGTTTTTACGTGAAGTCTCAGATTTCTTAGCAAAATGTAACAATTGAGACAAGGAAACGATTTTTTCTTCTTCACATTACCCAACACCTACATCCACTCTTACAAAGGTGACCAAAAACCTATTTGGAAGAGACTCAATAGAGCCAAGTTCTTGACCTCTTATCAGCTTCTGTTAAACCATACCTGTTTGCAAAATCTCAGAAATCCAATAGAGTATGTCTTTCCCCATAAGCAACAAGTTCCATACATACAGCTGGACCTAAAAGCAATACAACAAGATGTTCAATAAAGTACAACATAACAATCAAGCTTGATGTAAAATTGATATTTAAATAAATATATCAAAAGTTTATAGTGTCTGGGTTCTCTATTTTTGGCACTTTGACAGCTGTAATAGGAAATATAAAATAAAAATAGAAAAAATGGGAAAAAAGGAAAAAATTACAAAAGCAGGACAGAATAAAAATAATTCTTATTATGTCTTATTATAACTATCTCATTTTTAGTTTCTAAAGGGAACAGAGCTAAAAACGCATCTAACAAACAAACAAACCAGGTACATAGTGTGGACTCATAGGTCTCCCTCTCACTTAACTTCATTTAGGCATACCAACGTGTACTGCAACATCCAAGACTGAAATGCTTTAGGCCCTTGGGCAAGACAACAACATAAAACTACAGTAACTATTGTGCCTAAAATGAAGGCTTAGGACAGAATAAGAGCACAAAGGCTTCAAGTCCAAATTCATATGCAAACAAATGGTCCCAGCCAGCTTGGTCCAGATACTGGAACTCAGGTGATCCCATTCAACATCAGGACATCTGTCATTTAAGATAAATTTCAGTGGCAGAGGTAGAATAAGTGTTCTGACAGATAGATGTCCCTAGCCGCCTTTCCCATCCCACCAAAGAGAATGGTTATGTATATGCATATATGACAGAATGAGAGAGATAGGCAATACTCACTCAATAGGTTTCCCTCTAATCTCAGACATGATTGAGCTTTCCCCACCAAGGTATTCATAGCACAGGCTAAGGAAATTGTAGATAACAAAAGCTGCCAAAAGAAAAAGAAGAAAAATGGAAATAATTGCTAAATATCACTAAGTATACTCGAAGTACTTTAAAATAAGTGCTTTTTAAAAAAACAGGAGGGGGAAACAACAAAAGGAGGAAATATCCCTTCCCCCACAAAAAGCATTTTCTCCTTGTTGTATACCATCAAGTTTCTGATTTATGATAACCCTATAGCGACTCTATTGTGGGGTTTTCTTGGCAAGATTTGGTTGATTTTATCCTTTTATCTTCCTCTGAGGCTGAGAGAGTATGACTTGCCCAAGGTCACCTAGTCCCCATGGCCGAGCACACCGACTAACACAACACTGGCTCACTCCCCAAATGTCTACATCCTATCAATTCTAAAAGAATTTAACACTGCATGCAATAGGACCATGACCAAATTAAAAAATATCTATTATTTAAGGTAAAGGTAAAGATTTCCCCTTGACATTAAGTCTAGTCAAGTCCGACTCTGGGGGTTTTGTAGCTGAAGAGACGGCTTTGTCCGTAGACATCTCCAAGGTCATGTGGCCGGCATGACTTTATGGAGCACCGTTACCTTCCCATCAAAGCTGTTCCTGTTGATCTACTCACATTTGCATGATTTCGAAGCTAGGGCTAACAACGGGAGCTCACCCCATCCTGCAGAGTTGAATTGCCGACCTTTCGGTCAGCAAGTTCTGCAGCGTAGCGGTTTAACTTGCTGTGCCACTGCGGACCCATCTATTAATTATATGAGTTTAATTAAAATCTCTCAATGAATGAAATAATAGTGTGAAAGATAAATGAACTCCTGTTACATTATTTGTAGGTGCTTCACCACACATGCCCAGTATGACAAGAAGACTTCTTTTTCTAAAATGGTCCCCGACATCCACAATTTCTGCAATGGTTTCTATTTTATTTTTGTAATAATCTGTTTTTTGATGGTTTGGGTATCCTTGAAAATTTATCCATATATTTACAATGATTTAGAATAGAATTGAGGAACATTTGGCTTTCAAGATGTAGTTGGACTACTATAATGTTCATCTGCCCTGGATATTCTGGTCAATGGTGTGGTATGATGAGAATTTTATTTTAACCACTGTCAGAGGGTCGCAGGCTCCTTTGCCAATTTAAACCTGTAATGGGTGATGTCAGATCACAGAGAAGCCTCTATTTGCAGCTATACGTGAACAGTTGCAGGTGAGTTTCAGAGTGAAATTGATCTCTTACTGCCATACTGCCAAATCCGAAATAGTACAAAATAGGGACTAAGAAGTCTGAGCAGCAAAGTGAGGCAGAGGCAGTAAAAGGAGGAACAGCCTTTTGCTCTTTGGTGAAGCTTCCACTCCTATCTTCCCAATCATATTACAAAATACAACAAGTCAGCAGACTAATGTTTCCACCAGGTAAAAATATAATCCACATGTATTCTAGGTAGCTCAATTTAAGTACACAAACCAAAATATGCAGATTCTGATCATGATCTATATATTAAAATTATAGTCTTCTATAAAGGAGAATAGTTTGCAATTTCAGACTTAATGGACAGCTGACCATCTAAGCAAAATATTACTAAGATCAAACTCCCAAGATCCACATGATACATCTTTAAGCATGTCTCAGCATTTTTATACCAAACTAATTGATACAATTATTCAGAAAGAACTATAAGATCACAGGAAAATATGACTTGCTGAAATGGCATTTTCACTATATTTTATTTGTCACTGACAGAGTCACAGTGCTTCCTAGTGCCATTCTGGGACACTGCTGCTGTACTAGATGATTCAGTGCCACTGTCAACTTTATGGGCTTTGTACTTAAAAATTGAACAGCTACAGGTTGAGCATCCTTTATTCAGAATTCCGAAATAGTACAAAATCTAAAATTGTCCACATGAGTGGCTGAGATTGGGACACCTTCTAGTGGTTTAAAGTACACAAACTCTGTTTCATGCACAAAATTATTTTTCAAATGTCAGGTATAAAATTATATATGAAACATATTTTTTGTATTTAGACTTGCAGCCCAATTCCAATATATTTCATATATAGTATGAGCCACTAGGTACTGACTCTAACAATTTCATCAAAAAATAAAATAAAATGGAGTAATAATGTGTACATGAAGTTTTGTTCACATGGAAATCAGAACGGATTTCTGCATGCCCAAAACATCACATGTTACATCTAAATCTCACCCCAACCAGAGCACGGACAAGTCATTTTATTTTAACAGAGCATATATTTAAATTGCAGAATTTTATATTACTTTGATAGAAAAAGATATCATCTAACATTAGAGATTTAACAAATGCACAAACAGTAGTGAGTTTTCACATGTTTGTGTATTATGCTATCACAATTTAGATTTCATTTCACCTTATAGAATACATGTGAATGTGTTTTGTATGCTTTCAATTCATTTTCTATGCTTGGGTATAATTTGTATACCTAATGTTCCATACAAAAGGATGCTTGTTTAATTTAGCCGATGTAGTGACTATGTTCTATATCTTAGTTATCCAAATTATTTCATTTTGGTCAGTTAATAAAAGCATTTTTAAAATTAAAAAAACAGTCTCCTTTGACACAATCTACATAAGATGGCAAAGGATATGTCATGAAATACATTACACTTAATTTCTAGGCTATGGTTTCTATTTGGGCTAGGCAATACAGAGACAATGAATTGTTATGATGTTTGTTCCCACCATGGTCTTTGCTGCAGATTTGCCAATGCAACAATGGCAAACACACTGCTTTTATCTAATGTAAATCTTATTCATGCCTCATCACATTAAGTTCTTGCATAATGAAGTTCTTAAAAATCAACCTTGTTGAATTTGAAATTAAAACTGACAAGCATATTTTCCAACTTCACTCAAGATCCTCATTGAAGTACATTAAAGAAACTAACATATGAAAATTTACCTGGGAGTAGGTCCAATTTAATATACTATAGAACTTATTTCTAAGTGGACATGCGCAGGATTGTGTTAGAATTATATGACAAATTACTCCCAACATTTTCCATTGAAGCAACAGCCAAAATATCAACTGGGATTTTCAAAATGCTAAAACAATTGAATGCCTCATATCCCAATATTAGGCCATTTAAATGGCCAAATGAAAATAGGGTAACTATGTGCTAAGTTACTGTACTGTGTGCATATACATTATGAAGCACTGGCTGCCACAAAAATAAGATTTAAAGCTAAATACATATATTTATTAACATTTTTCCAAGGCTAATTATCCCAAGGAATAAATCTTTCTAGAAATGAAGTCAGATTGCCACCCTCCCTCTCTTGTTTCTTCCTTTTCCTACAGTTTTGAAACACTTCTGAAGATTGAGAACACATGCTGTGTGTGTGAAGGGGATAACAATATAACTCATCATCTGACAGACGGGCCATCAAGCTGGCCACACTGGCAAACTTTAGAAAGTAGGCTGTCCCTTCAATGCAGATGTTGTGATGTTTGCAAACTCCCTAGGCAAGACAATGGAAATAATCACTGTTGCTAGGAGAAGGGTGTTATGGAGCAGCCGGCTTCCTGTAATGCCTCTGTACACATCACACACACATACTCATTGATGGCAGAGAAATGGGAAAACCAAGCCAAACAAAGATGGCCTCTGGACTATGCACGCACCATCTGTTTTTACACTCTAGCCCACTGTTACAGGTGTGAAAGGCCAACTGATCGCTCCAGATGATTAGCTGGTTCATGCACCCAAGGACATTCTCACTAGCAGCAAGTATTGCACTATTTTTGTACAAGAAGGCTTAATGCAAGATGTCGCAATAAAAAGCAGAAAACCGAGGCTCAAGGGGAGAGAAATATGCTTAGACCTAAATGTGTGTTTACTTAGGCCTAAGAATATAGTGTAGAATGAAAATTTCTATTCAAAAGACTCAAAAGAAGTAGGGGAACAGTTTCCACTTATTTAAAAAGGATCACCATGATGTAGATGAACATTTTGCTTTAGCTGAGATTAAAGAAGCTCTACAGCAAATAAAAATAAAACAAGAGGGGCATGGCAGTATCTCCAGAAGCCTAATAAAATTCTGTGAAGCACTAATTATGTAACTTCCCAGTGGACAAGTGCTCTATACAACTATGGCTCCAGAGCTGCCAAGAAGTTCAGTTTAGTGTGCTCAAGCTATAGCTCTGTAGAGTGCATGTGCACCTGGAAATTATAGCAGTGCTTCTAAGTGGATTCCTAGAGCTTTTAGACAATCATAGAATCATAGAGCTGGAAGGGACTTTGTGGGCCGTCCAGTTCAACCCCCTGCGAAAAGCAGGAAAATCACATTCAGAGCACACACAACAGATGACCATCCAGCCTCTGTTTAAAAGCTTCCAACGAAGGAGTCTCCACCACACTCCGGGGCAGAGAATTCCACTGCTGAAAAGCTCACACAGTCAGGAAGTTCTTCCTCATGTTCAGGTAGAATCTTCTTTCCTGTAGTTTGAAGCCATTGTTACACATCCTAATCTCCAGGGCAGCAGAAAACAAGCTTGCTCCCTCCTCCCTATGACTTCCTCTCATGTATTTATACATGGCTATCATGTCTCCTCTCAACTTTGTCTTCTGCAGACTAAACATATCCAGCTCTTTAAGCCACTCCTCATCAGGCTTGTTCTCCAGACCCTTGATCATTTTAGTCGCCCTCCTCCAGCTTGTCAACATCTCCCTTCAATTGCAGTGCCCAAAATTGGACACAGTATTCCAGGTATAGTCTGAAGAAGATGCCCATGTCCTACACAGCTTTTACTGTAGTTTACAACAGGTTAATTCTAATTTTGAGATGTGGGCTGAGGATGATCCCCCTTAAGCTTCATAAGGAATAATTTTGAATAGATTCTAAAGGAAAAGTTGAAAATGTTGAAAATATTGGTGGGCCAGAGCGAAGAGAGGGGAGGCCAGGGGACAGCACCATCTTGTCTCCTGCATTTGCCATCCATTGGAGACCCCTCCCCCCAGCACCAACTGCCGCTCTGGGCCAGAGCGAAGAAAGAGGGGCTGGGGGACAGTTCCACGTTGTCTCCTGTGCTATTCTAATAATATGCTATAATATAATATATTGTATATACATATAATATTTATAATATTGTAATGTAATGCAATATAATACTAGTAATTATTTTTAAATGCGTAATGATTTTGTATTCTGTATATCTAAACTGTTGTAAACCGCTCTGAGTCGCCTAAGGGCTGAGAAGAGCGGTATACAAATAAAGTAAATAAATAAATAAATACTGTAGAATGAGTTACCTGTACAGATAATAGTAAAAATATGATTCTCATGAGAAGTGAAGAGTTCTATTAGTTGCCTTTCTGGAATAATGTTCTAAGATCTATATGAATATATAATTTTTAAAAAGATATACTCCAGAAAAGGCATATTTCAGAGTTATTGGATTCGCTGATGGCCAGCTGCAGACTCCCTCTCAACCTTATACCATCAGTTTCTGGCTTGTCCTACCAAGGTCCCAAAAGAACTGTTCATTATGATTTCATAATAGCCTACTAAGGGAACTCAGAAATAAACAGCTATCTGATTTAAAAAATAGCATCATTTTATGAGTCACCATAGCCAAAGGAGTCCTGCTTCTCTCTGCAAATTCTTTTTTATGTTCATGGCTCTGTTTCGTAATTTTATATTACTTTTTTTTAACTTCAGATGAAAATACATTCTTATTCCACAGAAGAAAGTGGACACAAATGCTAACTAATCTCGCCTTTGCTCAAGCCTCTTTCAGAACTCACAAGTAACAAATTACAAAGAACCTGTTAATGAGTTCCTTTTCCCAATAATTAAGGTATAATACACTGCATTACAACTGTAACCTAATAAGGGATAACTTCAGCCATTTTACAGTAGAATTGGACACTTTAGTTATTTGTTAGAGTTACAGAGTTTTGGCCTCACTAAATGGAATAGGAAAAATATTATGTTTATTCTGTTTATTCTATGTGTGTATGAATTTTCTGCTGTTAGCCGGCCTGAGTCCCTCTTCGGAGGTCGAGAAGACCGGGTTATAAAAGCTCTAAATAAATAAAATAAATAAAAATATTACTTGGTTGAAGTGCCAGCTGGTGCTGTGCTGCATGCTGATGTATTGTGTTCTGTTGCAAGTTAATGGGAGGAATACACCTTGTAGTATTAAGATAGTGTTTGCAGGTAACTAAAAATATCAATTTGTTATTTTTTGAGAAACAAGAAAGTAAAGAACTACTTTCTAGAAGATATTGCGTGGATATCCAACCAGTTATTAACTAACTACCATTGGAATAGTACAGCTACCTTGAAATATTAACTTTACCTAATTAATTTTTAAAAGTAAACATACAAGCTAATCCTATCTCTCAATTCAGCTCTAGACTCCTTTTCTGCACCAGAGAGCAACAGCTATTTATGACAGCCTGACAACCCTTACCAAAACCCACTATTGCTGCAGAGCCCTCCAACAACTTACCTTCATAGCAATCCCTCACTGTGCCAAAGTACACATAGTACTGGTCATTCGTGAAGAAAAGGAGGCTGAGCCATGAGTCGACAGCATAAATGGGCACAATGAAAAGGATCCGGACTATATAGCGCTGTTCATTGGGGCAACTGTAGCAGCGCAGGTGCATATAGATCTGGATGAGAAAAGATGGGGAATGGGATGAGAGTCAAACCACAACAAAGAACAAGACCACAACAAAAAACAAGAACAAGAGATATCTGGAATTTGGGAGATGCAATAGCAAACTACATGCAACCATTTTTATATATTTTGGTGTAGTGGTGCTCTCATAAGATCATGTATTCTGAAGTTTATTTATTTATTTATTTATTTACTCTATTTGTATACCGCATATATCAGCCTGAGGCAGCGACTCAATGCGGTTTACAATAAAAAGCAACACTAAACAATGTATGAGACACACAATACAGACAACACATAATCATCAACGCCACACTTAGAATCAGATTCCGATCTCAAGATCCTTTTTCCATTCCTTGTCCGATGCCGTCATTATTGAGTTAGTTGCCGAAAGCCTGCTCGTAGAGCCACGTCTTCACCCTCCTCCGAAACACCAGTAACGAAGGGGCCTGCCTGATGTCCACCGGTAACGCATTCCATAGCCGAGGGGCCACCACCAAGAAGGCCCTGTCTCTCGTGCCCGCCAGCCGCACTTGTGACGCCGGCGGAACCGAGAGCAGGGCCTCCCCGGAAGATCTTAATGCTCTTCCCGGTTCGTAGGAGGAGATGCGTTCGGAGAGGTAAGTGGGGCCGGAACCGTGTAGGGCTTTATAGGCTAAAGCCAGCACCTTAAATTGTGCCCGGTAGCGAATTGGCAGCCAGTGGAGCTGGTTCAGCAGGGGGGTGGTGTGCTCCCTGGAGCCGCTCCCGTTAGCAACCTGGCTGCCGAGCGCTGGACCATCTGAAGCTTCCGGGCAGTCTTCAAGGGCAACCCCACGTAGAGCGCGTTGCAGTAATCTATACGGGATGTGACAAGAGCGTGGACTACCGTAGCCAAGTCCGACCTCCCAAGATACGGGCGCAGCTGGCGCACAAGCCGAAGCTGTGCAAATGCTCCTCTGGAAACCGCCGAGACCTGGGGTTCCAGGCTCAGCGATGAGTCCAGGATCACTCCCAAGCTGCGAACCTGTGTCTTCAGGGGGAGTGTATCCCCGTCTAACACAGGCTGTAACCCTATGCCCTGTTCGGCTTTGCGACTGACCAGTAGGACCTCTGTCTTGTCTGGATTCAATCTCAATTTGTTAGCCCTCATCCAGTCCGACAGAGCAGCCAAGCACCAGTTCAGGACCTGAACAGTCTCCTTAGTAGTAGGTGGAAAGGAGTGACAGAGTTGGACATCATCCGTGTACAGATAACACTGCACCCCGAAACTCCGGATGATCTCCCTCAGCGGCTTCATGTAGATGTTAAACAACATGGGGGACAGTATTGAACCCTGCGGGACCCCACAAGTCAATGGTTGTGAGGACGAGCAGTTGTCCCCCAGCAACACCTTCTGGGTACGATCCTCTAGGAAGGACCTGAGCCACTGTAAAACAGTGCCCCCAAGGCCCATTTCCGCAAGGCGTCCCAGAAGGATACCGTGGTCGACGGTATCGAAGGCCGCTGAGAGGTCCAGCAGAACCAACAGGGACACACTCCCCCTGTCAAGTTCACGCCGGAGATCATCCACTAAGGCGACCAAGGCTGTCTCGGTACCATGCCCCGGCCTAAAGCCTAAAGTTATAACATTTTTCAAGTCTACACTCTGTATTTATATTACATCTATTCTTCATATATAGCGGAATAATATTAAGGAGTAAAATGCTTTTAAACATATAATTTTTGCAATATAATTAAGAACATGTTCTACATCACATTTTGTGATGCAAAAAAGCATTTCTACAGTTAAGAGTTTGATGATCTTTGGTATTAATTCCATTGAGAGAGTAAAGAAGTTTGCCTTTTTAAGGTTGCAAAACTAGAAATCAAGGAAATATATTAGTATATGAATGAGATTTTTAATATGCTATTTACTCATCTACAAGCTGCTCTCAAATTTGCCTTCTTGTAATTCCAGTAAAATGGAAGCCTAGCACTAGACACATTCCTAGTTAATGACTATGAGCATAAATTTATCCTACACTACCATTTTCCATCACAGTCTTTATAAGCATGTCTCAGTTTCAAGACTTTTTTTTAAAAAGATAAACTTCCAAATAATATGTAGAAATAAAGCCTTATATGCTGTTATATGGTTATATGCTTTGCATTTAAAATTTGTAATGTTTTAAATCCACAGAAGTCAAAAGCAAGGATTAGCCTGGAGCGCAATTTGAATTTGAAGTAAGATCTGAGGAAATATTCCTAAATTAAGAACTCTTATCACTCCATCATGCTTTTCCATACACAAAACATTAACTGACAGTTTTGGAACTGATCTGAATCACATTTCCAAATATTCTACTTTACAGAGTAACCTGCCTTGCTTCCCAGTTAAAAAACGAATTCACTGACTGCAAAAGGGAATGGAAGATGCATCAGAAAGTTGGTTTTATACACAGGCAGTCCCCGAGTTATGAACAAGATAGGTTCTGTAGGTTTCTTGTTAAGTTGAATTTGTATGTTAAGTCAGAATGGGTACATTTGAATTTTGAAAAAAAATTAAGTTGTGGTGGAAACAAGGACTGGTGATAAATCTTCAGCAGAGACACATTTTCCCCATGATAACTCTTTCAGGGGTGAATTTCCCTTCCTAGGGGTATTTTTTCCTCGCACTTCCTGTTGTCTTACCCCCTGGTCTTAATTATGAGTCATTTGTAAGTTGGATGTTTGTAACTAGGGGACTGCCTGTATATAGTAAGTCTGAATTAATGTTTCAGCAGTGATGTTTCCAAAGAGTGGCAGCTGCCAAGTTAACACAGAAACTAGAAGCCTATACACTTGCAGCACAGCATAAGCATATAGTTATGCTGGTTTTCACAGTTAAGAAACTGATTTTGCAACAGGTGCCAAGGTGTTGAGCTCATTCATGACTCAATGGTTCATCAGCTTCCACCCACCAAGCCAAAAATGAGAGAGGTGAATATGTCTGAAAGTGCCACCTCTGAGAAATCACAATCACTTGTGCAATAATGTTTAGTTTCATATAGTGCTCGAGCTGGATTCCACTCAAAACTATTTCAAGTGAAAGTAGCTTCAGGGTAAAGGACTGTAACTAGGTAGCATTCACAGATCCTTTCAATCACGGCCTTATGATGCAGTTATATCCAAAACAGCTACACAGAATACTCGCAAAGATTGGGGCATCTTAGTTCAGTTGACTACAGGTCTAGGGTAAATAATGTCAATAGCTTTCCTTTGGTTATACATGAATGGGAAGGAGGGAGGGAGGGAAGGAAGGCCAAATGTTTTAACTTGAGTGCAGTGATATTTTATATTAACCCAGCTTCTTGTCTCTAATTTGGTTGTTTCCAGTTACTATATAAATATGGTATAGGAACAGCTCCAGTGTAAACAAAAAAATCAAATCAATATTTCAGAGTTTTCAAAAGAGGTCTCTAGGAAGCTTACAAGTAGGGCAGGAATCTTATGGTATGATACATGTGATATACAAAAGGCATACCCTCTGTGAACCCAAAGTATTTCAATTATCAATTTATACCTACTGCCTATAGATTGATCCATCTTCTAGTAACCTCTCTCTATATTAAAGCAATGTAAATCAGTGCAATGTCAACATTTTGCTGTAGTGACTTTCATCATGAGGTGATAATCAAATAGGAATTGCTGGCTTTAGGCAACAGAGACCAAAGGTTGCACCAATTGCAAGTAGAACAATCTCAGTACATGTGTAGGAGAGGGACAATTAATTCTAATGCAAGAGAATTCACAATATTCATCCCTGTTACCTGACTAAATCTCAAGTATGGAGTTATTCTGATTCACAAGTAACTCATTCAAGTTTACATCACATTCAACTAGTTGCTTCAACACAAGCAATCTAGCTCTCTAATCAATAATCATTCATTAATTCACAGATGGTGATCATGTTGACAAATTACAAGATCTATATAAGTCACCATCAAGATAGCATTACCTTAGAATTACAAAGGATACTAAATTTGGCTTGGATCTACTTGTAACCAGCACCCTGATGAAATATACTGGCCAAGCCTTAAGGAAGAAAAGCTGGAGGCGGCAGAAAACAAGAGGAAAAAATATCCCCTACTCATCACACTTCAGCCTGCTGAAGTCATTTAGAGTTTATTAACATAACACACACAACAGGTAGAAATTTAAAATGATAAATGGATGTTTATTCCATGTGCTTAGAATTGATAAAAGTTCAAAACTGGGAGATGCAGCCAAAAGATTATTAAATCCATGAATCATGGTTCATCATCATAATCCACATATGTTTCTCCTAACCACCCTTAATTAAATGTACAGCATATGAAAGCCAGCCACATTACTATGATGGAAGTGCACTACTTACATATCTCTGGAGAGGGAAGATTGATTACTATCTAGGATTCTGGAATAAAGCCCCCTGGGCCTGTCGTGACAATCTGCCTCATAGTTTTAGCAGATGGAAAGGACTGAAGCATGATCTTCCAGAGTTAGAGTTCTCCTTCTCCTCCTTTTTCCTACACAAAACTGCCTAGACTCATTGTCATTCCAAGCATACGTGTTAAAGGCTAGACAGCATGGTTGTATACAGATTTACAGAAAGTTTTCTGGCTGCTATAGTTTTATCTACACATTGGTACAATCTGCACAGGTTTGATGGAACAGCACAGTAGATTTTATAAGAGCCTAGATGTATTTTAATTACATTACTTCTACACTCAATACTCTGTGGGAAAAGAGACACCTTAGAATGATAAACAAGTGCTATACACATTTCCTGTAAAATAAACTTCTATATTGCAATTAATTTTAATGCCCGTCACACTTTCAATGCAGTTACTTGGAGACTTGTTCCACATGGTGATCCCACAGGCATGCAATGTGAAAATAGAGTTGGAAGTTACTCACATATATTTCACGCCATTAACCTCACATAAAATGGAAACTGCACCTTAGCCTGATGTAACAGAAGTCTGTTTTTGTAATAAGCTCCATCCATGTGCAAGGTTACAAAAATGCATTGAAGGCAAGTCTATAGTAAACATGATATGGTGCAGACAACTTGGTCACAGTTAAAAGAAGCCATTTAATCAATGATGTCTGAGACTTCCAAGTTTGCTACTGAAAAAATGACTTCTGCAACACTGGTTATCCAAAGACTCCCTCTAAAGTTATGAATGTGAAGTATGCCAAAAAAAAACCAGAAGAAACCAGAACATGAATGATTGCACTCCTTTCCACCAAAGCTTCTACTTCACTATAGAAGTGCTTCAAAGAAAGCACTTTTATAGTAGGGATATCCACTATATCCACTGTGGTACGTCTACATATTGTAGGCCACAAAATGTCATAATCTCTATTGTATGTCATTCTGCCAGGTTCTGTAAAGAGTTGCTGTACCCATCCTTTATGAAGTGCCATTCATAATCAAAAGTTTTGTTTACCTGATGGCAGGTGATAAGCAAAGCTGTCCACACAAAGAAACCTGAGATAGCCTGGGCAGCTGTGGTCATTAGGAATACTGGTTGTTCCATAGCAGTGGGTCTGCCATCCTCAGGCATCCAGGATAAATTGGGGGCTGCAACAGGAATGTTGTCTGGGGAGCCCAGCTCAGGTGCTGACATGACACCAGTTACCACGATCATCATGTCGTCTTATAGTCACCACCTAGTTGTGGATCCTTCAAACCTGTTGGGGAAGCAACAAGATCATAAGTTTCAGCAACAATAATTTAACTGACCCTAACTGAAATATCTCATTCCACCTAGATCCTAAACTTTCTATCAGAAACTCCTAAATGTCTTCTACAATAAAAAAAATATTTAGGGGAAACAACTGATGTTTCTATAACATATAGCAAGGCTATTCTTTACTCACAGAAAATGGGGAAAAGAACAAAATGGGAAACATATTGTTCTAAATTGTAATTGCAGGGGATTTGGGGAAACTGTCTAAAAGCAGTCCTACATTTATGCCCCATTTATGCATTCAATCATATTTCTTTCTGAAGGTTTATATAATAAAGGTGTTTTTTTTTAAAAAAAAAGGAATAACATTGAAAGAAGCCTTCCTTAAGACAGCAGAAGGAACTGGATGTTTCTTATTTATTAATAGTTTCTTTTTAGTTACCACAAAAAAAAACCAACAAGAACTCTCCATTGCAGATGTAAGTAGACTTACATCTACCATACTTTGCTTTTTACTAGAACCATGAGGTCTACCATGTGAGTACATCTCTGGGTTGCTGCCACCGTTATGCTTTCAGAAACAAAAACAAGCTCTTGATGCTTCAGGTATACGTTGCTTGGATAATTTCTTTGATCCATTCAATCTACAATTTCCACCTTGCAGATCATATGATTGCAAGATGTGGACTTCTCTCCCTCATCCCGATGTTCGCCTGATGAAAGCTTTTAGAGCAGTGGTACTCAAAGTGGTGACCCCTCAACTGGTGCTGCTCCCTGAGTTGTTGGCTTCCATTCCCTAAGTCCATGGCGAATTTCCAGTCCCTGGCAAATTTCTAGGAAACAAAGTATGGCATCTTATAGGCACAGATATAGTGCAAGTTTATACTGCCACTCCCTCACATCAAATAGTAATCATTAGATAAGACAGAGTATGGTGAAAAATGTTACTTTCCCCTGTATATGTATATAGTCAGCACAAATATTAAGACAGATACAGTATGTCTCTCTCTCTCTTTTAAACCAGTGACCTTTCAATTTCTGTTTTGACAGAGCTAGTACATATATCCAGAAACTAAGTACATGTATCCAGTTACAAAACAAGGCAGAAATGTATGACTGAAATTTTCTTTATTCTTACCTATGTTCACTGTAAGGATCCCACCAACATTGAAAAGATACATCCGCCGTTGAGAACAGCATAGTCTTGAAATGAGATCATATGCAAACTCTTGGCTCTAGAAAATCAGAGATGAACAGATGTCAATATACTTTATCTACATTGTGTCAATATACTTTGTTCATATTATTATCCTTTGTGCATTTAATATGATGAAGCAGTACTAATCATAAATTATAAATGTCTACAACAATTGAGTTTTTTTATATTCATTCAGTATTTATGTTTTTTACCACTAGACCATCAAAGTATAAAAAGAGTTGAATATATATTCTTCTTGTTTTACAAGAAAAGAGCAAATAAGGTAAGAACAGAGATGGAAGTAACTGGACTCCTTTCAAAACAGATCTATTTTGTTTTTATAGATGGGCCAGCAGCTACAATTCTTGTTATGTAACAATACTTATTCCAGTTTTTTCCTCTTTTCAAATAAATCACTTTCATTACTTAAAAAAATACCATTTAGATAACATTTCTCCCAATCTTTGCCCAATAGTGAATTCATTTCAAAAACCTTCTAGGTAAAATTATATTTTTAATGGGAAAAGAGGCAGTGATGGAAGAATCCCTAACATTGTTTTTGATATTATTTTGCCTTCAAGTCATTTCCAATAAATGGCAACCTTAAGATGAACTTGTCATAGGGCTTTCTTAGCAAGATTCATTCAGAAGAAGTTTGGCATTGCCTTCCCATGAGGTTGAGAGTGTGTGACTTGCCCAAGGTCACAAAGTGGATTTCATGGCCAAAAGGGGATTCAAATCTAGTCTCTACAGTTGAAGTCCAATGCTCAAACTACTGCACTGGTTTGAGCATACTTACAGTGTACAAAACCATTTCATTATTTGTTCGTACAATGTACAAATAATGAAATAATAAAGTCGACACCTAACTGGCACAATAACTTTAAAGCACATTGGCCCTAACCTAGCTCTTGTTGCACATAATTAGTCACACACAACAACTACAGATCTCAGATGGGGTCTCTATCTGCATTGACTGTGATGACCCCACCCTGAGTTATGTAAAATTACAAAGTAGGGCCAAGGGGAAGAGGATGACTGGATAGTAGAGAAATTATGGGGTGAAGGCACAAGAGACTTACTAGTAATAAAGCAAAAAAAAAACAAGACCAAGACGATTCAAAATTAAACCCAAAGATTTGCACAATAAGTTTTTGTTTTGTTTTTTCATGCCAGGAGTTGCTTCTGGTGTGAGAAAATTGGCCGTCTGCAAGGACATTGCCCAGGGAGTGCCTTGATGTTTTATCATCCTTATGGGAGGCTTCTCTCATGTTTCTGCATGGGGAGCTGGAGCTGACAGAGGAAGCTCATTCGTGCTTTCTCAGATTCGAATTTCCAACCTGTCAGTCTTCAGTCCTGCCGGCACAAGGGTTTAAGCCACTGCGCCACCGGGGGCTCCTTGCAGAAGGAGTCTAGAAGAAAAATGCTAAGGTCATGAAGATGATGAATTGTACTGATGCTCTAGATATAAGATGGTAGTGTGAAAACTGCAGCTTGAAGGAGATAAATGAACTTGTACTGTATAGAGAAACGCAAGAAAGAGACATATCAAGACAGAGATAGAAACTCTCTGCAGAAAAAGGTGGGGTTGGAAAACCACAAACAGGATGAAGACTGTGCTCTCTTCAGGACAGAGGTCTTTGCTGAATCTGTAGGAAACCACTGTACATAGTTTCCTTCTGACAGTATTCTACAACTTTGAAGATCCCACATGACTCAGTGGAGTCCTTTGTTTCTGTTTTCTTTAGCCTATAAGGTACATGGGTAGAAAGAATTTATTATAGATGTATGCCAAGCCAACTAAGCTGAATTTTTCAAAATGAAAAATATTTGAGGAAATACCATACATTCCTTTTCTGTTAAGAAGGCAATTATGGTAAATCACAATAGTTTCTATAATATGTGGAGGTGGGGGAAATACAAAAAAATTTAGCTGCTAAAGATATAATCCTAATCCTATGGTAATTCATTTGAAAACAATCTAACTGAATATAATAGGGAACTTCTGAGTAAATATGCACAAAATAAACTCTGAAATCTTCATCTTAAATCTTCTTTTTGCCACAAACTTAGATAGATGGGTAAAAGACCCAAAGCAACTACTTTATCTTCACTTTGATTTGCAATGCATAGATGGCGACACTTGTGGGTTTCATATGCAGATCACTGAGATGAGGGGCTCTGCGTGCTTCAGAAGCACAGAACTATTACTATCCAGAAGACCAATACATTCCATTACTCTGAATACTGTGACCAGGATGCAGTGGTGCATTTTTGCTATTATTATGCTTTGGTCAAAATCAAACAGGATTTCAGAGAAGAGAAAAAACAAAACTTGCCCCAAAAGAAACAAGACAGGATGAAATATATCTTAAATGACAGCAGGTATCTAAATACTCAAATATCAAAGGCCAAGAGCCAATATTAGAAACATACACTGCCCCCTAGTGCATGTAGATTGGGAATAAAGCATCCATCTATTTGAATATTGTAGTGTTCATCTCTGCTCCACGCAAATTCAGAATACTTAGTTTGCTTAAAATATTTTTAAAATAATGCTGATATCCAACTCTTATAGAAACAGAAATACATCTCAGTGGAGAAATGACAACAAACCACTACTACTGGTACTTCCTTGAAATTACATATTTAACAATGTCATCATCTAGGTATGTGTGTTCCAAAATCATTAACTGGTTTAGTGTTGTCAAGCCACGGCACCCTACCCACTAATTATTTGTGAATATTAATAAGACTTCAAGCAAGAGATATGACTTTTTCTTTATTTTTTAACCATTTTTCGATCTTTCAAAGTTCCACAATGTCCAAGCCACTGCAGGCTCTGGAAGGACCCAGCAGCAACTATACCCTGAACTATATCATAGCTAAACCCTTTAATAAATGTATTAGCATAATATTTATTGTGTAACTTGCATTGACTGTGTACTGTATCAATTTCTAAACATATAAAACTGTATCAAATATATCCTGAAGGCATCTGCTTCCCCAGTGTTCCCTATTTACATAAGCTCCTGGGAACAGAGATCACTGAAAAATTAACGACGGTCCTTCCAGTGGTCTACGAAGCCAGATAATATCAGACTGTGTGTATGTGTGCAAAACAAATGATCCACCTATTCATACAGGACAGTAATGTTGACATGGTCCATACACTTTGTAAACCTCAGAAAAGCAGTGAAATATTTTATGACAGTATTAAACTGTGAGCTGGGTCCCATAGTCTGTGTGTACTCTCAGGTTCCAGTACTGCAATATGTTCAGTATATCATTTCCCTCACTAACCTTTCACCATAGCCTTTTGCTTCAAACCTTACAAAACTTTGAGCTCTCTAGATGCATACTGCGCATGAACACATAAGAACAGGAGTTAGAAAGAAAGATGGTGGCATGCAAAGTAAGAGGACAAGAATCAGGAATTGACAAGTTAACAGAGAGCCCTTCCACACAGCCCTATATCCCAGAATATCAAGGCAAAAAATCCCACATTATCTGAGTGTGGACTCAGATAACCCAGTTCAAAGCAGATATTGTGGGATTTCCTGCCTTGATATTCTGGGATATAGGGCTTTGTGGAAGGGCCCAGAGTGAGGAAGGAGAAAGAATGGTGAAAGGGAGAATGAAAAGTAAACTATATCTCATATTTTACTTTTTGTGTTGTAAAATGCTCCGAAGAGAATTTTACCTAAAATTCATGTGTATGAAATGCATGAATGGAAGGGGATGGAGAAGAAGCAGCATGTAGGGATTCTATTGCACTGACAGATTTCTACAATACTTATCTCCTTCAACTCAGAAGAACAATTTGGGAGTGGTTTCAGGAAATGGACAGCCTGTGTATGCCTGCACAGAAGGGATTGGGGATCAGGGGACAAAGGTGGGGCTAAGTAAAAGTTATTGGAAGTAATAAGTCCAGGGATCAAAGGCTCTCTTTCCTTCTAAGGAGACTGTATCTGAAGGAAACACATTATGTCTGAACCGAAGAGACTGCAGACCTTATCACATGGAGGCAGAGAAGGCAGGGGACAGCAGGAGAAATATTGGTGCGTGCACCGCTTTATCTCCTTACTGTGGTTGTTTGTGGATCCCTTCCCATGACATTTCCCCACTGTCCCGGCATCCTCCTGCATTCTCCCTGGTTTCTTCTCTGAGGAGTCAGGTGTACGCCCGACTTCCCAGGGTTTGGTGTCTCTGCTTCCGGCACAATGCTAGCATGGAGCCCAATTGAGCCACATCAGAAGTAGCCCTGTCTCATTTGATGGGCTCTTGCAGACTCCTTGCCAGCGATGAGAAATGGGGAGAAGACACTTCTCAGCCTTCATGAACCTTCAGAACTAATGACTGTCATTCACTTGAGACGAAGCTGAATTATGGCACTCCCTAATAAAAGAAAATCACTGCAGCAGATACTTTAGCAGTTTCCAGAGTGAAAAAAGTATATTTGTAAAATGTAGCAATAATTGCTACTAATTATACCAAGCTATCCCTGTCTGGCACCATTTTATTAATTGGTCCTACACTATCATTTTGTGACTGGTGGGCCTCAACCACCTTCATCTCAATATCTTGAAGGCACTGCATCCCATCTGATATTAAAAGTAAAATAGGATCGGGCCTGATGAGTAATTGGATGAAGGACTACTACAATCCAAGGAATAATCCATCCTCTGTGCTATATTTCAGAAGAAGACAATCCATTTCTGAGCATTCCTAGCTTATATATAATTTGAAGGCACATAAACATAGACAAGGAGGACTTAATATAGAAAATCCAATGAATTGTTTTCTGTTTGGAGCTGCCCTTCAGGGCATGCATATCCTTCCCCAAAGTAGGAACATACACACAACAGGGGCACGTAATCTCAAACTCAGAGGCACCATCATGCTCCCTAAGGCCTCAACATCAATGTACATTCACATTTCAGCTGTTACCAGGGCCAAACCAAAACATTTAGCTGCCTAAAGCTAATGGTATCCCTCAACAATATAGAATACACAAAGAATCTAAAACTAAGCAAT